TATCCGTCTGCCCAGCTCCTCGACTACCAGACCCTCAAAGTTGTACTTGCTTGTTCGAAACGGAAATCACTCACAACTTGACTTGATTGCCGAAAACCCAATTTCCTCATCGCGATCACTTTTCCTCCGGTTAGTGGCAGATCCTTGATCCAGGAGTCTTCTTTTTGCTGGTCTTGCTCTAGTCTTGTTTTCCCGAAGTTTGCTTAAGCAGTTATCGCTAACTCCACCTTCCTTCAATGTCCTGTTCATTAGATTTTTATCCCCAACAATGTCAATGGCCTCCCTAATCTTGTGCTTCCTTGTGTTGTCAACGAATGGAGCTCTTCTTTAGGTTGCCTTCCAGCTGATCTCGTGTCCAGTCTGTGCAATGTGTTCCGCTAATTCTCGTCTTTCGGTATCCATTTTGCTGCAGAGCCTCTGATCTTCCTTGATTCGTGTGCTAATTTTTCTCCTTGTTTCACCGGTTTCGCCTGTTTCTCAGCCATAAACTGAGAGTGCCATAACATCGCTTTGAAGATGCTCTACACGAATAATCAGCCGGCGTCTTCTGATGAGATTGACCGGTCAATCTCTTAATTATGTATCTCCATACCAAGTAAAAGTCTTCATAACAACCTTACCTTCGTGGAGAAGTTGTTTGACCTTGTTTTCGCAACTTGGCCATGTTGGTAGGAAGACTTAGAGGAACACACTTTGTCCGGAGTCCATTGTATGCATCATCACTTCCAAAGTAGGACCGTGGACGTGGTACATTCCCAGACGTTTGGCCGGCATTGTCAGTGAGTCTCGCCATGTTTGGTCAAAGGATGGGGTTCACTTGTCTCTTTGACGGGTTGTAATATGGCGCTACGAATGGCGAGACTCACTGACGATGCCGGCGAAACGTCTGGGAATGTACCACGTCCACGATCCTACTTTGGAAATGATGATGCATACAATGTACTCCGGACTAGGTGCGTTCCTCTTGGTCCTCCTAGCAACATGACCAAGTTGCGAAAACAAGATCAAACAACTTCTGTACAACGAAAGGAGACTGCGACCACACAAAAGGTCACACCATCTTGGTCTTCATACCTTATCTTCGTAGGTTCTTCAAAACCCACATTTGCTTCGTGCTCAAATACGTCGAATGTGGCAAATGAAGAAGGCATTTGGTTGGGAAGTATTTGCTCTTGATCGATGAGCTCGGGCAACTGGTGAAAGAGTGAAGAGACGACTAAATTGGTCAATTCATTGAATGCTCCGGCCACAGTCGCATTCGGGCAATAATGTCGTTGAGTTCGTCAACTCGTTTCGATGCGCATTCGCTGTTACGCAATCCAGATGCCAAACGCCACTGAGCAGGTCCCTCAAACTTGTCAAAGGGCCGAGACGACTTTTTCGGCCTCTCATGTCCGGGCCACAGATGCACGATCCACGATCGGTACATGAAGAGAAGCTGGGTTTCAAAGAATCCCTTAGTAGATTGATACTGACGTGTCTGTCATATCGTTTGAGAAGGTGGGCGAAAGGGACTCGAAGATTGGCCTCATCGCATACCGAAGGAGGGTGGTTGCCACGGACTTGTGTCTGTTGAATTTTGCGAAGAGGATCTCGACTCATCGTTCTATGGCCTCGACCACTCCGTGCTGAGCTTTCAGCCACCGTGTAACGAACATTGTCAGAGGAAGAAACCATTATTCACGAACAATCACAAAAAAACTCTGATCCAATTAAGGTATGTTGCTTCAATGTTTTTTTTTGAGCTTACTTCCATTTCGAGTGAAAGTGTTGCGTGAAGAGATTGGAAGGTCGGCTCCACCAGAAGACGACGGCGGGTTCCTCTTGACCAGATGTCGATTGGCTTTACTGGAAGATTCATGCAATCTCGTTCGATTCCTGTGAAAAGGTGCTAAGCTTTTGTGCGTCATATGATGGACATCATCAGAGCGAGGTAACATCGGCACAAAAAAATTAAAGCTAACGAGTCAAGAAAACTAGTTAGCTTGAGGGGGAACTTCATTTCGAATGAAAGTACATGATGAAGAGATTCGTTTGTCGTTCTCAACAGATGAGGAC